CCCCTGGATAGTACACACACTGATGAACTACCCTAGCAAGTTTTAGCCCAATATCTTAAAAAATAAGCAATTTATTTGCATTATTGTCAAAACTTTACTATTAGATAATTTTCAAAACCATTTTCCAGTACGTTTTTGACATCGTACATAAACATAAATGGCACCATCGTCACATCGTGTTCCTGAGCTCAAACTGCATCTAATAAGCACCTCTTTTGTTGAAAAAAGTTCATTTTCAAAATTTGACCTTTTCTGACCTGAAAGTGACCTGACCTCGGGTAAGTTCAGCTGAAAATAACCTCAAATGACACAGACGACATTTTTTTTAAATCTACGAGTAAAATGGACCATAAAACATGCGTCACGTGACCGATACATAATACACAATTTTCGTGACATAGGATGCCCTGGCCTTGGCCTGAAAAAAATCGAAGTAAAAGATCGGTACCCTCAGGGTATCTTAGGCATATATCAAGGCGTGCGTAAACCAAAAATGACCCTGATCGGACTTGTCAGCCGGCGGTCAGAGCCTAAATTGTGAACAAGCAAAAATGCCGATAATTTATATTTTGACCTGACCTGTGACGTCATTGGTGACCTCGAGGTCAATGAAAATAGGTTTCGTTCGACAGTTTTTTCAGGAGTATCAGACGCTTTTTGAATTTTGACGATCGGCCCAGTAGTTTCGGAGATGGGATTAGGAGGGGGCTCTGGAGAGCCCCCCCCCCCTCTCAGTCACTCGCGTTATGGAAAATACCCCAGTCGTGCGCGGATTAATCTTTCCCCAATACCCGCATACTTGCCTAGCATTTAAGCGGCTTCATAAAAGCAAACGACATAGTAATTAAGTTCTTTAGCGCGTATCTTTTTAACACGAGTTCCAGGAGACATACGGGCTCGATTGTTAACCCTCGCCCCGCTGGGGGCCAATTTGCCCCCCCCCCTGTGGTTTTTCCTGAATAACAAGAAAACGGCGGTGCGCAGCGCTGCCAAATTTTCAGTACCTTTCCGGGCATCAATTTGACACCTTCACACACAATTTCAAGTCTTCACATTAGGTCACATTAGGTCACATTAGGTCAGGAGTTATTGAGTTCGAACTGAGGTCATATTCGAGCCAAAATGAGCAAAAAACATGAAATCTGGAAACGCTCACAAAATCTAGAGTTACCAAGCAATTTCAATTTTTATATGGTCATGTAGACAAAAGGCAGCGCTACAAAATTGCTATCTCGGATTTTTAAAATTTTGGGTTTTTGACCCCAAAAATTCAAAAAATTGATTTTTCTAGAAAAGAGCAAAAAACATCCCACCATTTTTCCGAATTTCGAAAAAACAGAATTTATGTGACAGTCTCTGCGCTCTTCTATATACATGCCACATTTTAGATCGATACCTTCTTTTTTGGCCAAGTTATAGCGAAAAACCGTTCAAAATTGATGATGTCAAAATTTGAACTCAATTTTTAGCAATTCTAGACCACGCAGCGCAAAACAAATACCACCGTTGAACTCCCCGTGACGAACTGCATCGAATTGATACCCATTTTATGCAAAATATCAACTTTGAAATTTGACCTTATTTGACCTGACCTTGACCAGAACATAATCTAAACTGACCCCAAAGGCTGCCTGACCCACATAATTGTACCTACGTGGCATATAAAATGGACCATAAAACATGCATCACATGATATTTTCATATTGTGACCCTCAGTAACCTGACCTGGTATCAGTGACCTCAAATAGCAAAATATGTGTTTGACCAACATTTCCCCATCGATGATTTTCGATTAAATGCATTTTACTCGATTTTACAACGCATTTCTTGAAATGCCTGTAAACGGTGAAAATTCGACCTTTGACCTGACCTGTGACGTCATCGGTTTGACCGAGGTCAATGAAATTGGGTCAATAGAGCCCCCTGTGGCTTATCCGACTCGCTACGATGGCTGATGGCCCAAAACGATGCTTGATGATTGTGTTATCAGATTGTTGACCTGTGATGCTGTCAGCCAAGGTCATGTATAGACTTTCAATGGCTGAATGAAACACTAAATGTGTTTGTATGTATGTGTCCGCCAAGGATGTGTAATAAATTGATGATGATGATAATGATCGTGCTTACCTACTGCACAAGTCGTTGACCTACAACTATTTATGGCGAAGGTTTTTTTGCCAAAAAAAGAAAAGAAACGGGAGCTGACCTTGATATCTTTGAACTGATCTCAACTCCAGGGTGGGATTGCATCGATGTCAGGAGTGCCCCATTGGACGTCAAACGCCAGTCACCTCAAATTGGTCACCAGCCGTTCAAACGTTCACCCCAGGGAGGGTGAAGTCCAGTCCAACGAAGGACTTGTCCCCACCTTCGCGCTGGTTGCCTGGCGGGATGACCGTTTGCCCATGGACAGGCAGACAGTGTGCAAGTGAGAATGTGGATTGTGAATGCGTTCATCCTGAAGAAAGAACGGATGACGCTGGGGAGGGTTCGTTGTGCAAAACTTGTCTGTACAGACATGGATAGACGGTTTACATAGTGCTATCAGCTGTGCAGAAATACGGGTTGAGGCAAACTCGGCCCTCCCCTCTCGCAGAGGTGCACGAGTCAAGGAAACATCGTTGGCGTGACAATGTCCCTTCTGACTTAGTTTTATGTTTTTATAGATAGGTTTGCCGACATGAGTTGAGTTCAGAGACGCACACTGCGCACAATCCAACGCAGGGACGTACCCAAGGAAGGAGGAGGGGGCGGGGTGCGTACCTTCCTCGTTCCTCCCTTCAGTGAGTCCCTTGGGGCTTTCAGAGCCCCAGGATGGAATCAGTGCCCCGCGAACCCAAGGCCCACGTTGGCCAAAATCACGTCGGAGGCGAACAAAATTCACAGGAATCCCAAAAATCACGTCAGGACAGGCAGGACTCACTGACCAGCCTGATCGGTCCTTCTTGCTACCTGGGGCCTCCTGTGAATAACCGCTAGTGTCTGTGTCTGACCGCTAGCGGCCGCTCTGACTGACTCCTCTGACTCCTCAGTAGAGAGGAGCTCTTCTGTAGGTTAACTGAGGCCCTCTGTAAAGAGGAGACCCTCTGTGGGAAGGAGGCCCTCTGTAGAGAGGAGGCCCCCAGGATCCCTCCACCCTCTTGGCCACGGTGTCTGATCCAGTGAATATAGCTGCATCAAAATATCCCTACTTGCCTGCCGGAATGCCGGTAGATGGCGTCACCTGAAGTGACGACGAGAGCGCACCTGCAGCGCCATCTGCCAGTTGGACCAGAACCCTGGTGGTGGCGCTACTGGTAATACAGACACTTTACATTCTTAGCACCATTGGATGAAAACTGTGGGACGCTTATATTCTCAAACTGATTTTGAAATGGCTTTTCATTAATCGTTATATCTTTTTTATTCCCTTTTGTTGATTAGCGTTCCATTGATAAGATTGTTATTTAGTGGTCGTAGCCCCTTTATGAAACGCTACATATACACCGCATGTAGCCGCAATTGCCGCTTCTTCGCTGTACGTACCCTTCACCCTGTTCAGCGCTTTCATGTCTTCTGCTGGTGAAATCGATGTTAATTTAAATGACGCCATAGCAAATAATTTTCACCAATGACCATCGGTTTCTGGCTACTTAGCTCGTCATCGGTATCCACCCTCATCCAACCCTCATCCAAGATTACTTTACTACTCCCCTCATCTTCCCTCATCAATTGTGATTGGTCAAAACTGAGTTTTTCGCTGGTAAGCAGCAGTAGCACTTACTGAATGGGCTAAACAGGTTTGTGTTTATTTTATTTTAAGCTTCAATTTGCGCGGGAGAATTGAACGGCTTATTGATGGTTTATAGGGTTTATAGTACCCTGGTTTATAGTCACCGTGGTTTTACCAAACAGGGTGAAGTTTGTGCAGGAAGTTTGAGTTTGGATGTGGTTTGGATGAAGTATACATTTGGACGTTAGTGCGTGCAAATTGCAAGGCTGTATCATTGTCGTATTGATAAACTTCAACTTTGTATTGTGATGGCTACATTGTTTCGAGCATGACCTTTGGGTCTCTTAACTGATCTCAGGCAGCTTTTGCCAAATTGTCAGGGATTAAAGGGACCCTCCCACCTTCCAAAAAGTTACTGAATTGGCATGAAAGTGATGTCGCTCGGTTCAGAAAGAGCAAAAACGAATATCTACCAAATTTCATCGAAAAATATTCACCGGTTTTCAAAATATTAGACTTTTACTTTTGTTTACTTTTTGGGATCTCCGCTGTTCCTAGCGACTTTATTTGAAAGTGCGGCATTTGTTGCGCGCAAAGCAGCATATACCACCGCGTGCTACAAAACGTTTTAGTCAAACATTTAACGGACGTTCGAAAGCCTGATGACGTCATCAGATTCCCGTAATGGTTAAGAGATAGGGACCACGCTGGTCCCACCCTGCAAGTAAAGAGAAGAAATTTCTTGAACACCATAAAGCTGCGGGGGTTGCGACCAGGATAAATGGTGGTTTCTGAGCCTGGCCGCAAACTTGGCTATCTCAACTCAAAACTAATGTTAAGGTGGGAGGGTCCCTTTAAGGAACTCAGATTTGTTTTTCAATTGAAAAACACTTCTAGGAATAGTATTTTAGAGCTATTGGCAACAAACCTTCAATTATTTATCTTTGTCTTGCTCACCTTGTGTGTATTCTCCATATTCTCATGCATCATGTGACATGTGAGTTGTGACTGAGTCTGACCTGTGTTGTCGTTGCCGCACAATCTTGATCTCAATCTATCAATAACTGCTGGTAGGTATGCTGTTTCACCTATTGTTTTCTTCTTCCTTAGACTGAAAAGTATGGGAGCAGAAACTAAAAGCAGTACCAGTACTGGAACTAGCCAGGGTGAGCCAGGGTTACAAGTCCACACAAAGCAGGCGGGAACTCTGATGCCGGCCTCACCCAGTCAACTGACCTAGTCAGATTCCATCAATACCAGCATGCCAAGGCTAGATGGATGGAAAGACAAAAGGAATCCAGCTTCATATTAATATGGCTCTCCAGCTGTTCGTCTCAGAAGGCATTGTCATGACATGCACATAAGCAGAAAAGAACACATTGCATGGGCCACTCGCCACGGCTTATTAATTTCCAACACTCATTTCTGATGAGTAACAAAAACTGCATAAATGGTTATTATTTTCTGGCTGACCCGTTGTGTCTCACATATATCATCTTCATCTACAATGCTGCGCCAGCACAGCAGTTCAGCGAAGTGCCAGCTGTCAAGGAAGGCCCTGAGCTTTCAACATAAAATCTGCACTGCACCATATAGTTGCACCTGCTGAGTACCTCTGCAGTCTGCCCGAAATCTTGTCAACATTGCTATTTTTGTGGGCTGGCCTGTTCCTTGTTTTATATTTTTATTTTGCTTTTCTGCATGCTGTAGATTGGGATTTTGGATTTTAGATGATTATTTTGCTATTCATGACGTGCTATTCATGGTGCAGCATGACATTTTATTCATCCGCAATGTTTTTTAAATGGAGGATCGATTCGGCTTTTCTTTTACGGAGTTGTATATCTGTACCTGTTAGGCTCGGTCGCCAACTATCACTATTTCAAGTGTCATATGCACGTGTGTGTACAGCCAGAGATGGTCTGTTTACGAGGGCACCACGTCTGATCAATGAATATTTTAGGGCCTCACCGACATCTGATATGTTTTTCGATGGTTTTAGCACATTCATGAGATGTGTCGTTGACTATGTGAGAAGCCGCTAAATGTCAGGGCCTCGTCTAACATGTTAACTGGGGGGGGCAATTGCCTCCCCAGTCGGGCGGATTGCCCCCCCCCCCCAGTGGCCAACATTTGCCCCCCCCCCCCAGTCAAAACGTGAACTCACAAAATTACCTTCTCTGCAATACGTTTTCATTAGGAGTCTTTCATGGATTTAACGAGAAACATTAAATAATTTGTTCAACAATTGTTCATGGCTACGGGAAAAAGCCAGAGTTTTGTGAATTTCAGGGCTCAGCTGAGAGCGCCAAGTAGCAAATTGTCAATTGGCAGCTGGCCCGTGACCCAACTCGTGTTTAACCCCCCCCCCCACTCAATCAAACGCCGGCCAACACGTATAAGTATGTTGATCACTGTCTGGTGGGGCAATGTGAGGGGGTAACACACTAATCTTAACCCTCGCCCGTATTGGTGTCTTTCCAGCCGCGAACGTATAGGGGGAGGGGGGGGGGGGTCCGTTGGACCCCCTTGCCGTTTCGCCCCTGATCGAGCTAGAGCTTCGCGGAAAAAAAAACGACCGTGCTGCCCGTCACGAGAGAAAGCCGATGATACCCAATTTTAAGGTCCTAGGTCATCGGTTAACCTTCCAGGTCAGGTCAATGACCCGAAAGTCGGGAAAATCGGTACCTGTTAGGACGTCGTAAAGGGAGGCTGTTATGGGGGTTTTCGGGGTGCTGATCACGAATGTCATGTTAGTTATGATCATAATGCATTTAGGCCGGGTCGGGTCAAGTCAACCAGTAAGGGTTTTGCCGGGTATTCGTAGTAGATGGCAACCGCCTCTGACAGCTTCGTAACATGTTACGAAGGCACTAAAACTACTTCGTAAATGTTCAAATGGTTGCTAAATTCGACTTCAGCTCCAAAAACTAGTCTAGAAACATGTAAAACTCGAAAAGGTGAACAGGGGTCATCAAAGGTCAATGACCTAACCTGACTTCCCGGTGACCCTGACACCCACCCTAATGCATGGGGGCAACATCATATACCATGTTTGAACGCTTGAAACCACGAAAAGACTGCAAACGCTCGGCTAATGCGAGCCGACATAACCGCGATTGCGGCCAAACATGGTCTCAAAAAGTAGGTCAAAGGTCATTAGGGTCAGGGTCATGACATTTTTAAGGTAGGTGTAACATTGATTGACGCGAGGATACTGAAAGTTTCGTCGCGATCGGCCGTTTTTTTACGCGAGTTATTTGCGAAAAACCGAGTGGCTCCGTTCGATACCCCCCGCCCCCGCCCCTATACGAGCATGGTTCGGATTGCCAGTTTTTTTTGCTTTTTTGTTAAAAAATCATGGTCTCAGGGCTGTGACGAAAAACAAGTGGCCTAAATCCGGTGAGAAAACAGGATTTGGGGGTACCCTAGGTTTGGCTCCTTCAGTCTTTGCCCCCCCCCCCCCCCCCCCCCAGTGAAAATTCCTTAGACGAGGCCCTGCTAAATGTGCAGCTGCTCTTCGTGATTTTAATGATTTTGTCATTGTTTTGTGTTGTATTATTATAGATAGGACTTCATCTTTAAATGGGGTGTCCCCGTCGACGATGACTTAATAAACTAAAAAAATATTCCTGAACAAATAACCATTCTGGAATCATGACATAAACTCACATCGTACCTATGAACTTTTCAGATCAAGATCTACTTATAGTGATGTTAGGAAACTGAAAGATCACTAAAATAATTCACTTTTATGCATTCATGTGATGGAATCTACCTATCCTTTAACTTTTTTTTTGCTATTTTTTCAGTTTCATCTAAGTATAAGGCATTTTAACTTTGGAAGTCAAACCACCAGTTGTGATTGATGGGTTTGGGTACCCACTCGTCTCCCACTGATCATTGCACTAGGAGGGGGAGTGGAACTGTCCAGCAAATGCATTTGAGCTTTGGAGGAAAGTGAATCTGCTGAATGCCTTCCCAATGTTTTACAATTTATCTCCTCAATTCAAGCCAAAAAATGAATATAGATGTCTATTCTGAGGTGGCATTTGCCATGCCTGACTGTTGGCTCATGTGATAACTGGCTGTCTGACTCAACTTTGTATGCATGAATTTGTATCGCAACCCGAGGCTAACTTTTAACTCCTTCCTGGGGTGCTACCCGTCCTTCAGAGATGGTCACATCACCAGCGAGTCGCCGTGGGGCGCTCATCGTCCTGGAAGGCATAGACAAGGCCGGCAAATCCACCCAGGCGCGCCGCCTGGTGGAGTCCCTCTCTGCGCGCGGCACGCCCGCCCAGCTGATGCGTTTCCCAGAGCGGAGCACGCCAATCGGCGGCCTCATCCACTCGTACCTCTCCGGCGGCGACTGCGGCACCGTCGACGACCGCGTGGTCCATCAGCTGTTCGCCGCCAACCGGTCCGAGCTACTGCCGCGCATGCGCGAGCTGCTGAGCGCCGGCGTCAGTCTGGTGGTGGATCGATACGCCTTCTCGGGCGTGGCCTACTCGGCGGCCAAGCCGGGCCTGTCGCTGCACTGGTGCCGCCAGCCGGACGTGGGCCTGCTTCGGCCCGATCTGGTACTCTATCTCCACCTGGCGCCCCAGGAGGCGGCTCGCCGAGCCGGCTTCGGAGAGGAGCGCTACGAGACGCTCGACTTTCAGACGCGAGTGGCGGCCAACTACGAGCAGCTGTGGGCGCCCTACTGGCGGCGCGTGGATGCGGCACGCGCTCCGGACACTGTGTTCGAGGAGCTGCTCGCGCTGGCAGAACAGTGTGTGGCCTCAGAGCGGTCCGCAGAACCTCAGCCACTCTGGGAGGGGGATGAGGCTGATACCAAGGTGTAGTGAGCTAGTTCATAATGAACTGCGCCAGTGTCTTCCACAATAAGTATGCTAACGAGTAACGACTGAGTGCAGTTCTTGTCAAAACGACAGGATGCCTGTGTTGTTTTACACTTATCGCCATTTGCATGAATATCGAAAATATATGCTTCGATGCTTTTTAGAAAATAAGCATTTTGTAAATTACACGGTAGTCGCCAATCCCAACTTGGTTCTCTCGTCTGATACGCGTGGACCCATTCTCTTGGCGTGTATCATTGGTTCGGTTACGGCTATATGAAATGTTCTGGCGATGGAAGACCATCAGTGGTGGTTGAAGTGGCCTGGTGGCTAACACATATGACAGAAATCCGTGACATAAGGTTATGACGTTATGGGCTATGACATAAATCCGTGAACTGTACGCCTGTTCAGAGTCCTTCCAACGTGCATGCATTTACTATCATTGGATTGAAAATTGCCGATCTTTGGAATGCTTCCTGGAATAACGTCGACTGTCAGGAACTGATGAGCCAGAACCTATTTACTGCCGCTCGACGTTGTGACGGCGACGGCTATATCCACTGTTGTAGCTTTGAGTTCCCAGTCCACATGTGTTTGCGCTGCTCTGTCTGGGCAATATTGGGAGGCCACTGTGATAGCATGGATTAGGTATTCCTGGATGGGACACTCCGCCGATTTTCCGACCACCCGGCGGCGGCGGCGGATTTCCCGACGGCGAGGGCGCTGGCGCCATTTTAGCATTGCGGGCTATGGGCGGAGCGTGTCTTTTGGTATACTTTTGTCGTTTATTACTTACCTATAACCGATTTTGATGAAAATTTTTGTAAACCTGGTAGAACAGGAATTGAGGAATGTCATGGAAATATTCTTTTCCCAGTTTTGATTTAAGAAGTTGCTTAAATTCTGCTGACAAGTGAGGGTTCGTGATTACAGCCGAAGAGCTAATGTTAGAATAAAGCTAAGTTTTATGCTATAACATGAAAATAAGTTGATATTTGTATTAAATCATCAATAGGAACTTGTTTGACTGCCGAGGAACGATGATATTTGATGATAAATTGCATCGGCAAGTCAAGAATACCGGCTCAGTTTATGGGCATCAGGTAATGATTCCGTATGTGATAGTGACTAAATGGAGCCATAATAATGATAAGAAAGGACTAAAAATTATGTTTAAAGTGTCTGAAATTGTGTCTTATGAGCTAAAGTTCGCTAATTTCGCCCCCCATTACCGCGTTTTTAGCACGCAAGCCGGTGCAGCGGCCGCCGGCGCACTCGCCGCCGATGTTTCGGAGCTCCGCCACCAGGGCGGCCGCTTGGTCGCCGGCGCTAGTGTTGGGGAATAGGGAGTGTCCTATCCAGGAGTACCTACTTCATCCATGGTGATAGCTTCCAAAACGGGGATAAGATGACAGGTGGCGCTGTGCTCCTCTTAGCGGTGGCGCCACAGCTGCTGCCTTAGATGAATTTACATCTGCTGCCTAGCGCCACATTTCGAAGACCGAAAGTAATTGGTGCAATCGCTTGCAATCGGTCAACTTGCACTAGTTACTTGTCAATGCATTTCAAGTCAATCGGACTTGAAATTTGCATTTTGCTTGGTTATGGGCTGCTTCTCTCTTACGTTTACAAAGTTACCGTTGATATACACCCTCTCATGGCCATCTTTTCTCTTTCAAAACCTTTGACGATCGTGAGCCTGAAAGTCATTTCGCCGACTTTTGTATTTAGCTGCAGCGTTCAGATATGTATGCGGCGTAATCGCCGCAGTATCCGGAAAATAAATATTTCCACAGTGCTATTTCGCATTTTGAAGAGAAGGGAGCGTTATCTGTGTGTGGTGCTGCTGGTCGTAGCTTTAGCCGGTTTTGTTGATATTTTTGCTCGATAAGTGGCGTTGAACCAGTAATCAGTAATCGTGAGAAGTACCGGACATCTGAGAAAAGACTGATCCTGACCGTCTGGCCACTGCTGTGCTGACAACGGGCCACCCGCCTGAAATTTGAATTATTGGGAGCAATCGGTGAGTTCTAATTGAATTACACACCTTTTTCATTGCTCTTTCATCTGTTGAACTGCGTCACAGAATTCTTGGGGCTTAAGCAAATGACATGTGGATGAGCTTCAATATACTTTTCCTCAATACTTAAAGGAAATAGTTCACTTTCACAAAATTATTTTTTTTTGCAACGATTTATTATTTTTTATGTTCAAAATAATCAGCAAAGAAAATAAAACCTTTTTATAACAAAATATTTTTTTTTCTATATTTTGATATAGGAAGAACTTTTCAGTTTCTGTAAGGCACACGCGATCCAGTATGAAAAGAGCATGGGTCCCGAAAATTCTTCAGAAACAGAGAAATTATCGCAGCCACCGGCATTTGGGCGATCTGCTTGATCTGATAATGTTCCCCTGAATGTCCTAATTGATCAGTACGAGAATTTCTCTAGAGTTCTCGTAGATAATTTCTCTAGTTTCTGAAGAATTTTCGGGACCCATGCTCTTTTCATACTGGATGGAAATATATGCAAGGCACACATCTTCAACGCAAGACACCTTTTTCGGGACGAGAAATAGAATATCTTTGCCTAGGGTGATCGTTGGGCTGTAAAAGCTCCTGATTTATGCTCGTCTCAGCCCAAGCTACGGAACTGCTATTCCAGTTCCAAACCCATGTTAAAAAGTGAACTATTTCCTTTAATGCTTTTCATTTTCCCTTGTGGCAGTGTCCCAAAATTGAGTTTTTTCTTGGGTGTCAGAGGGGAAAATTGCCCACCAAAAAGAGAGGAGAGAGTGAAAAACTGCTGATTCGATTAGATCCAAAAAGAGTGAAAAATGACAAAAAAACGTGCATTTTATTCTAAGGTGTAGGATGCTTGATGCTAAATCGGGCATCCACACAACTGCTCTTTCTATAGGTAAAAAATCTAGGTTTTCTTGGTTGGGAGTGAAAATTGTTCTTAAAAATTGGTGGCGAGAGTGGGAAATAAATTTCATTTGGATGTCGTTTCCCACCCAAGTCCCAAATCGACAAATTTTGGGACATTACCTTGTGGCTCATGTCGTATGTCGTTCACAATGCTAACCTGAATCCATACCCTAACTGATTGAAATAGCATTGCAGCGATGCCCCCACGAGACAATAAAGAGTGAAAAGGAAAAGGCTTTCTGTATGTCTAGGGTTTTGTTTTAGTCCTTCCGAGCTCCTTTTGCTGCATAGGTAGGTACCACTACCTACCTACTGTCTGTAATTTCCTCAGTTATTGAAAGAGTGCTCACTTGCAAAGGGATGAAATCAAATCATCCTGTCTCTCTCTGATGTGAGCACTGAGCAGTGTACCTATGTCTTTTGTGCCTAGTGTTTTTCCTTCCAGCCTGACTTAAGTTAAGATGGTGGCCAGAGAGCAACAGCTGAACTCTGAAGGCTGTTGTGCTTCATTCAGCTCAAGTTGTTGATGACCTAGGTGTCAAGGATACTATTTTTCAGCAGGATACATCTCTGGACTCTAGTTTCATCAGTTTGTGTTGATGAGTGGGAACCTTAGCATCTGCACAGAGTACAGACTGAGACCCCATGACTCAGCATCTGATATGCTGTCATCATCACACTTCATGAGCACAGAACCTTGGAAGCTAATTGCGGTTATTGTACAATTACATTATAGGTGAATACTACTGTACAAACTTAAGGCAAAAACTACTATGTTGGGTCGTCCAACCCCTGACCCAAGTTGTAACATGACCTGACACAACATAGTAGTTTTTGCCTTTGCATGGCAGAATAGGTATCTGGTAGGTACCTTTTACCTAGTACCAACCACATAGCAATAACATATTTTGTCTCAACATACTGATTACCTACTGTGTACAGGTTATTAGAGTTACCCAGTACCCACAATATTAAAAGAAGATTCAGAAGCCTAATTGCCTCTCCTGTAACATAACATCCTCCTCCAAATAATTGCCTGATAACCCATGAATTCAAGACTGACTTGCAAATGTGAAATATCTGACATGATTTGACGCATTTGAGCAAAGCTTATAGCAAAAGCAATCAGTTAGGATTATCTTTGCTTTCATGTTAGCTTGATTATATAGTGACTTGACAAGTTGGTCCTACATTTCAAGTAGCTTCTCAGTTGAATTGCATTGCTTTTAAATTTTAATTAAGGTAGTGTGATGCTGCCTCTTGTCTGTTTGTCAGCATGTACGTAAAATTGAAATTATAGATAGTAGGTAACCAACATGACAATATGTTAATTATAAAGTGTATAAACATGACTGAAAGCATAGAATATTGCCTAGATGCTGAGGTTTATTCTACAATGAAAACTTGCATTATCACCCAGTTTTATTGGCATTTGCGTGCCGAGATACTCGTATATTGTGATCTAGAATGAAGTGTGTCAGCTACGACTCTCGTCACAACCATGATAGACAAACTGCGTCATCCACGCTGTGATGTCGGCCTGAGGCCCCAGCGTCCACTCTGGCTGTCCGTCAGGGCACGAAAGTGCGTTATCAGGCCGTGTTAGGTATCGTAGCAGTATCACGTTATCTTACCAGTATCACGGCGCACAGTCGGTATCGCCCGTCACGGCGATAACGGTCAGCCGTAATTCCGGACTCCGGAGGTCTTAGATCTGTGTCACTTCATCAATTAGCTACCGATATTTGAAGTCTGTGTTAGTGCGTGTTTTTTATATTGAACAGCGTTCTAATTGAAAATGTACAATATGTAAATGTTAACACAATTTTGTGCAGTAGTAAACCCGGATTCTTATTTCTAGGGCACTACAGGGTTGTGGCAAGTGCAAGGTCACCGTTCAGCTTAGATCGTCTACTGCAGGACCAGTTTAGTTTTGATCCGTGCTCTAGTCAGAATACCGTTATCTATTCACACGGCAGTGCCTCCCCGGGCTATCCGGTCTCAGGTGTTGACACGTTGTGGTGAGGCGGCTTGTCTCGGAGTTGAGTCAGTCTGTGCGCGGACAGGGTGGTCGGCGTCTGGTTGGCGCGGTCGCCCGCAGCTGTCGGCGGCAGGTGTCTACCGTACAGGTGTCTACGCTGGTAACGGGAAACGGAGCGCTGTCGCTGCTCTGTCATCAAGGCAGTTTTAGACGAGGAACTATATAGACAGTAGACTGTGACTGGGCGTAGATGGA